TCCGGGTCAAGTTGCTGTTGTGTATACATGTGCTTGTTAAGATTTTTTTTGTCATGGACAAAATGTGACCTTTCACTCAGGGTTTTTAAAGGTTCGGGTTGTGAGATGATCCGAAACTCCGCCACCTGCATACTCACGCACACTAACCTCCGTACCCCATCACCCCAGCCCTCGCCCGGCCCCACTGGCTCCCTATCACACACACTAACCCCTGTACCCCATCACCCCAGCCCTCGCCCGGCCCCACTGGCTCCCTATCACACACACTAACCCCTGTACCCCATCACCCCAGCCCTCGCCCGGCCCCACTGGCTCCCTATCACACACACTAACCCCTGTACCCCATCACCCCAGCCCTCGCCCGGCCCCACTGGCTCCCTATCACACACACTAACCCCTGTACCCCATCACCCCAGCCCTCGCCCGGCCCCACTGGCTCCCTATCACACACACTAACCCCTGTACCCCATCACCCCAGCCCTCGCCGGCCCCCACCGGCCCCCTATCACACACACTAACCCCTGTACCCCATCACCCCAGCCCTCGCCCGGCCCCACTGGCTCCCTATCACACACACTAACCCCTGTACCCCATCACCCCAGCCCTCGCCCGGCCCCACTGGCTCCCTATCACACACACTAACCCCTGTACCCCATCACCCCAGCCCTCGCCCGGCCCCACTGGCTCCCTATCACACACACTAACCCCTGTACCCCATCACCCCAGCCCTCGCCCGGCCCCACTGGCTCCCTATCACACACACTAACCCCTGTACCCCATCACCCCAGCCCTCGCCCGGCCCCACTGGCTCCCTATCACACACACTAACCCCTGTACCCCATCACCCCAGCCCTCGCCCGGCCCCACTGGCTCCCTATCACACACACTAACCCCTGTACCCCATCACCCCAGCCCTCGCCCGGCCCCACTGGCTCCCTATCACACACACTAACCCCTGTACCCCATCACCCCAGCCCTCGCCCGGCCCCACTGGCTCCCTATCACACACACTAACCCCTGTACCCCATCACCCCAGCCCTCGCCCGGCCCCACTGGCTCCCTATCACACACACTAACCCCTGTACCCCATCACCCCAGCCCTCGCCCGGCCCACTGGCTCCCTATTGTCGAATGGATCGATTTCAAAATCCTCATGTTTTCAAATCACTTCACCCCCGGGCACCTCCCTACCTTACTGATGTGCTTACTCCCCAATCCACTACCCGCTGCCTGCACTCAACTGGTACCTCCTCCTGAACTTCCATAGTGCCCTCGTGCTTTCAGCCACTACACCCTGAAACTCTGTCACTCTCCCTCAACCCCTTCACCTTGCCCCCACCTTCCCCATACCTTCCTCGTCTACCCACGTACAGTCACCTCCCCCTCAACCACAACAACAACACAATTGCATTTGTACACCGCTGAGCGGGGGGAGCAGGCGGGTTGTAGGGGGTTAGGAGGTCGCAGTGTGAGCAAGTACATGGAGGGCTTTGAAGGTGAGGACCAGGATCTTGAACCGTATCCTCTGTGTGACGGGAAGCCGGTGTAGTCGGGTCCTTCATGCTCCGTCACTGTCGACCCTACACTGCACGAGGGGCTGTATAAATGCAAATTGTTGTTGTGGTTGTTTGGACTACTGACTCAGTCAGTAGCGCTCTCGCCTCTGAGTCAAAACGTTGCCGGTTCAAGCCCTTCATCGGGACTTTGAGCTGATAGTTTACGCGGGAGCTCAGGTGTGGGGCTGACGTGTAGATGTCCTCCCGAAGAAACATACAAATCGACGTCCTGCCTGTGCCTGTTGTAAAGATCCCGTAGTATTATTCAAAAAGAGAAAGGAGTTTCTCTCTCTTTCCCGGTGTCCTGGCCAACAATCCCCAGAATAAAATTGGTCACTCGCTCCACGGCTGTTTGTGGGACATAATTGTGTGCAAATTGGCTGCCACGTTCGCCCACATAAATGCAGTCGCTTTACAGAAAACCAGAAGTGTTTTGAGACTTTTTGATAATTATAATAATCCTTGCACTTGATGTAATCACGTCTTCGAGAAGTCTCATAAAGCGCTTCACATAATATACTGTAAAGCGAATTGACTATATTTTGTGAGCGGAACACAGTAGCCACTTACGCACAGCAGCGCCCACAAACAGCTGTGGATTGAGTGATGTGGTTGAATGCTGTAAGGAAATGCTACTTTATTACAGAGAGCAGGAAATTTGTTCTGATGGAGGACTTATTGTCCCTTCCCCTGATTTAATTGAATTCTTTTGTTCAGTCAGCAGCGGATTTGATGTTCGAGTGCCGCTTTGAGGACGTATTTTAGCACAAATGCTCCATTCATGCAAAGTGCTTTCACGTTAAATTGAGTTGGAGTGGAGGCCTGAGATGCACAGTAATTGGGGCTGACCACATTGTCAATATGAAAACAATGCCTATATTGTACTGTGTCTCTGTGTTTGTGTGATTCTTTCTACTTCCCTAACCTTGTTTATGTCGGCTGCCACATTTCGCCCACAAAATATACTGTCAATTCGCTTTATAGCTTGTCTTGTGAAGCAATTTGAGACGATTTGAAGATGTGATAAGGCGCTGTATCACATAAAAGGATTGTTATTATTATCGGTCCCTAAAATTGTGTGCGTTTCCAACTCCTGACTGTATTACATGTTACAAGGGCTTTCTGCATGTCCCTCGATCCCTCTGCTCCTCCATCAGTATCCGTGCTTTTGGCCATTACGCCAAATGTCTGGATCTCCCTCTTTCAATCCCTCTTAACTTTGCGTGTGTGTCCATCTCTCTAACTCTGTGTACTTATTATTCAGATCTGTCCACTTCTTGTTTCTGGTTCGTAGTCCCACTTAAGTTGTGATACGTCATAAACTTTGTAATCTTGCGTGCAAGTTAATATTTTCACTGGCGTCACTACCCTTTGGTGTAACCCCGTGAAGCGCTTTAAGGCACGAAAGGTGCTGTAGCAAGTGTGAGGATTATAGCAAGTTCTCTGGGACGCTGCCCTGCACGAGGGGCACTGTATACAAGCAAGTGGATCGTGGGAGGGGAGTGAATCAGCTGGAGTGTTCACTTGGTAATCTACTGACTCTCCACTCTGCTGGAAAGTGTTCTCTGCTGGGAATCCTGTAGCTTAGCAATCGCCTCACACGCGAGCGGACCTGGTTCAGATCCTGGTAGGGTGAAACTTTAGGCACGTTCCCTTACTCCGCACTCCTTTGTTTACCTAATAGGAACCCGGTTGTTAGTCGTTTGGCAAACCGCTTTCCGGGGAAATAATCCCTTAAAAAGTACATATTTTATTAGTCAACCTATGACTGTTTGTGGGACACCGCTGTATGTGCACAATTGGCTGCCGCATTTTGCCCACAAAATACAGTCAGTCCACTTTTGCATTATATTTGGCGAAGAGTTTTGAGACGTCTCAACCACGTGATAAGGTGATGTATCAAACACAAGGATTATTATTATATCAGAAGTGGGTATACTTAAGTTTACGGGTGTAGAAAATCTGGCATCGGCGGTGACCCAACAGCCACTACGAACCATCGCTAGAGCCATTGTGGCTAACACACTTTCTTTTGATGGCTTTCAGCCGCTTGGCCTGGTTCGATGGATCAGGAATGGGCTTCTCTCTGGAATATCCCAACATCAGTCTGCATGCCGTGTCCCGAGACCTGACCGTCTATCCCCAGGAGCACTTGTACGTCATGGTGAACGGCAAGCTCGGAGGTAAGAGAAGCGATTTCACTTCATTCGTGATGTGAGTGGCCTTGCCTTGGTTGGTGGAATTCTCTCCTCTGGGTGACTGCAACCATTTTACGAAAACTACAGCAAAGATTTACAAGTACGCAGAACAGAATTTTTCCTGCTGGGGCTGGTACACTGAGCGCAATGCAAGCTGTAAACCCCGCTAACCCGAGTGCCTCCTCCCGCAGCAGAAGACAGTAAAGAAACAAACATGGACGGAAAGGGATCCGAGGAGGAAGAGGATGATGACACTGATCCCATCACAGAGGTTCGGTTTGTGCCCTCCGACAAAACAGCGTGTGAGTAACTGCACCCCCCCAGCTGTCAGCAGTGGGTATCGCATTGATCTAAATTCAGATTGTCTTCACCTACAGAATGGCTGTTCCGCAGTCCCTTCACCTCGTTCCCTCCCTCCAGAAACGCCTCCTCTTCGACTGCACCTCCGCCACCCCTATGATCCCAACCCCCAGCTCAGGTCCAAATCCCTGACTGTCCAGTGCCTTGGAATGTCCTCCCGATGTGAAAGGCGCTATGTAAATGTAATCTGTTGTTGTCAGCTGGCTACTCTCACCTCTGTGCCGGATGGTTGTAGGTTCAAGGCTTGTGTCAGGATTTTGAACTCACAGTCCAGGCTGACTCCCAACTGCATCGTCAAGACGCTGTTCTTTGGACGGCACGTTAAACTGAGGACCCTTCTGTCTGTCCAGATGGAGGTTAAAGATTCCACTCACTGTTCAAAAGGAGAAAAGAGGTTTCCTCCAGCCCCCCCAACCCGGTCAACAATTCCTTCAAATTAAATGGCTTCAAGGCTGTTGATGGGACATTGTTGAGAGCAAATTTGCTGCTACGTTCGCCTACAAATAAATAGTCACTGCATTTCATAGTAATTCTTGTGAAGCACTTTGAGACATCCTGATGTAAAAAGGCTATATCAAAATATTAAAAATATTTATAAAATTATTAATAATTTTGTTTTACCCATAAGATACACATGCGCTAAACTTTACACTATGAAGCGCTTTGAGACGTCTCAAAGAGGTGATAAGGCGCTATATCAAATTCAAGGATTATTATTGTGGGTGTGTGTTATTAGTAGTAATTGGAGAAATTCAGGGAAAGAGGAAATCGAAGATTCTCACCTTCACTTTCAAATCTGTTTGTAGTCAAACTCCTATGTACCGCCTCGCTCGGCTCTGCCTGATTGGTCTGCAATCTTCCAACTACTTGTTCCTCACTCCCGCTCCATCTCCCATTTGGAGTTCTGTAACTCAGTGGTTATAGCACTCCCTCACAAGTGAGAGACCTGGTTCGATTCCCAGTAGAGGGCGAAACCTTGGGCAAGTTTCCTTACTCCACACGCCTAATAATTATCCCTCAAGAAAAAAAACAATAATAAATTGGTCACTTCAATTCAGGACTGCATAGTTATAATGGGGTAACCTATAAATATGGCATCAGCCAGTAATTCCTGGTCTTGGGCTCACTTTCTGTATCCAGCAGTTGCTGTAATGCTGAGATGTTCCATTCCTGCACATTACGCGACCTCACCAAGTGCTGTACCGGGTTCTCCCTGTGTATAATCAGATTGTTCTTGCAAACCATTACCCGCTGCCTCCGCTCCACTATCAGCGGACGCACTTTCAGCCACAACACTCTGAAGCTTTAAGACTCTCTCCCACAGTACCTCCGCTTTGCCTCTTCCTTCCCCTCTTTTAGATCAGCATCAGGCTCCGCCACTGTTAAGCGCACACTGAAGGGCAGTATATAATAATAATAAACCTTGCATTTGATATAGCACCTTATCATGTCTTCAGACGTCTCAAATCTCTTCACAGCTATATAAATGCAAGTTGTTGTTGAGGTGCTTGGTTCTGAATTGAGGTCCCTCTTTTCCAGTGGAACCGATGTTCACAGCCATGTGTGACTGCCAGGCCCTCCACCCCGACCCAGATGACACAGACTCTGAGAACGACTTCCAGGAGGATGATGAGGAGTACGATGTTGAAGGTCACGGTGCATGATCCCTATCGGTTCTTCCCTTCCTCCTGTCCTACGTCAGGCTTCCCCCCCCTCTCTCTCTCTCTCTCTTAACTGTCGTCTGCTTTTGTAGACTGCAGCAATTTAGTGTCTCAACTCACCGTGTGTCAGCCTGGGCTCAGTGGGTAGGGACTCTCGCTTCTGAGTCAGAAGGTTGTGGGTGCAAATCTCACGTTGGGACTTGAACTCACACAGTATAAGCTGATGCTCCAATGCAACGCTGGGTGGGGTTGTATTGTTGGAGGTGCCTTCTGAGGCCCCATCTGTGCCTGTTCTGGTGGATGCTAAAGATCCCACGGCACTGCCTGAAAAGCGAAGGGAGTGTCCTGGCCATCAATCCCCCAAATGAAATGCCCCACAAACAACCACTGTATGGCCGTTTGGGACGTCGTCCTGACATGAAAGGTGTTATACAAATGTAAGTTGTTGTTGTTTGTGGACATTGCTATGTGCAATATTGAAGATAATATTAAAATCCCTGTGTTTGATATAGCATCTTATATCATCAAAATATCTGACTATATTCATGCCTGTTTGTGTGCTGCATTTGCCTACAAATGCCCACCACAACAACAACAAAATTACATCTATAGAGCGCCTTTCACGTCGGGGGGACGCCCCAAAGCGCTGAACAGGCCTGAGCATGGGGGAGGGGTGGGGTAGGGGTGAGGGAAGGCAGAGAGGTGGGAGGGAGACCAAAGGTACAATCGAAGATCTTGAGACTGTCCTTGAAGGAGGTGAGGGAGGAAGCGAGGTGAAGGGACCGTGGGATGGAGTTCCAGAGTGGGGGCAGAGAGGCTGAAAGCCCGGCCACCGATGGTAGGGCGGGTCGGGTGGGAGACATGGAGCAGCCGGAGCCCACTGAATGGAGGGAGCAGGTCAGAGAGAGGTAGGAGGGGGCAAGGCCATGGATGGCCTTGAAAGTGAGGACGAGGATCTCAAACTCGATCCTTTGGGGCATGGGGAGACGGTGGAATCGGGCAAGGGTGGGAGTGATGGGGTCGGGGAGCCTGGTGTGGGAGAGTACACGGGCTACAGAGTTTTAGATGATCTGCAGCTTGTGAAGGGATAAGTTGGGAAGGCCGATGAGGAGGGAGTTTCTGTAATCAAGCCTTGATGTGTACCCACAGTCATTTCACCTCTACAATTCCCTGTGAAGGTCTTATAGGCTCTGTATCAATACAAGTGTTAATTTTATTTGCTCAGTTATGACTTGACTGGGTCAGTTATGAACAGTCGGCAAACTGCCCTCGAGCCAACGTGATCTCGGGGACGGAAGCCAGGGTAGATTGAGTAACAATTTTTTTGAAGCCATGGTAGGAAGCAGCAATAATAACCCCCTTGTCAGCTGCACAATAGGTCTACACAGTCTGGACAGAAATCAGCACCTGTTCAAGGTAAATCTGCCAAGAGAAGAGAAACATTTCACTCATAGAGTCTATTCACTCATGTGGAGTCCTGTAGCTCAGTGATTAGACCACTCACATTGCAAGGGAGAGGACCTGGACTTGATTCCCGGGAAGGGCAAAACTTTGGGCAAGTTTCCTTACTCCACACGCCTCTGTTTACCAGCAGTCAGTAGGAACACGGGTGGCAGTCGATTGGTGGAACACTTTCCGGGAGTAATAAATCCTTCAAAAAAATTGTTGCTCAATCCACGGCTGTTTGTGGGACGCTGCTGCGCGCAATTGGCTGCCGCGTTTCACCCACAAAGACGTGACAAGGCGCTGTTATCAAGTGCAAAGATTATTATTATAAATGACTGGCATTATTGACTTCAGCCACAAGGTGGCAACACCTGATCAAACAGGATGAACGCCTCATGGCATCAGCGACCGTTGCCGCTGTACTTGTGCTGACTTGGATATTAACTTTGATGCAGCATTTATTATGTGCGCGTGGTGCATGCGCAAGAGGGTGCGTGTGAGGGAGAGACTGTGTGAGAGAGAAAAAATGTGTGCAAGATCCCATGCAGGTTTTTGCATGTGTGTGTTAAATCACATGTACAAGTGCGAGCATGTAGATTGCGTGTGTGTGGAACATAGAAACAGGAGGAGGCCATTCAACCCCTCGAGCCTGTTCCCCCATTCGATCAGATCATGGCTGTACCTCCACTCCAATTACCCGCCTTTGCCCCATATCCCCTGATCCCCTGACCTGACAAACATCTCTCCCCTCAGTCTGGACAATGTGAATGGATCCACACAGAATCCACAGCCTTTTGGGGGAGAGAGTTCCAGATCCCCACCGGCCTTTGGGTGAAAACCTGCCCCTGATTTCACTCCTCAATGGCGCGGCTCTAATTTTAAGATGATCCCCGTGTTCTGGATTCCCCAACAGAGGAAATAGTTTCTCTGTGTGTGATTGTGCAGTGATTGGGAGGGTGGGGGGGGCCGTCAATTATTATTTGACACTTATGGTGCCTTTCCAACTTTGCTCCCCAACAGAACGAGGCCAGGGTGACATTCCCACGTTCTACACCTGTGAAGAGGGTTTCTCTCACCTGAACCAGGAAGGCCAGGCCACGTTGGAGAGGTTAGAGAGTATGTTGGCCAGCCAGCAATCAGCATTCCACATGGCCGGTGTGCGGACCGACATGTCATCCACAGACTGCGATGGTAAAGTAACTCCTTTGAATTTAAGCGGGGGGCGAAGGAAGTGACATTCAGTTAATAATCTTTACATTTGCTGCAATGTCGTTCATGTCGGCAGGATGGCCCAAGGCACTGGCCACTCAGGGATTTTGACCTGAGCTGGGGGTTGGGATCAGGAAGAGTGACCGAAGGCACGGTCGAAGAGGAGGGTCTTGAGACGGGCTTTGAAGGAGGCGAGGAAGGGGGTGAGGCGAAGGGACTGCGGGATGGAGTTCCAGAGGGTGAGGGCAGAGAGGCTGAAGGCCCGACCACCGATGGTGGAACAAGCTACGTTTAGTAGCTTGCCCTTTGCATACATGTCCCCCTGGTGCCCTCTTGTCTCTCTGCCAGTTGGGTGCAAGGATTGGTGATCAGTAAAAAGGTCAAGTGCTGAAACCCAACCCGGGCCCTGTTTCTCAGCTTGAGCTCCCATCCAAATAGCGTGGATTTGAGTTGCACTGAACGCATTGCAATCAAGTTTCATTTTGATGATAATAATAAATTGGTCACTTCAACCCACGACTGTTTGTGGGACGCTGCTGTGTGCAATTGGCTGCCGGGTTTTGCCCATAAAATACACAGTCAATTCACTTTAAGGTATATTCCGTGAAGCGCTTTGAGACGTACTCCCAGTGTGAAAGGCACTGTATCAAATGCAAGGATTATTATTACTAACTATGTGGCCGCCTGCTGCATAGGGAGGAGGGACTGTCGGCCCGGTGAGTGACCATCCAGCGGCTGTGTTAAAGCTGACCTTTCCATGTGGATTGGAAGTGAGCGAGCCGATGGCAGGCAAATCAATCTGAGTGAGGGAATCCCGGGCAACTGTACTGATATAGGCACAGCCCTCAGTGTGTGGTAATACCTAACCACATTGTAACTTGAATTGAATTGTGCAGCTCACTGTTAGTCTGGCTCATTTCATAGCAACTGAGCTTCAAGCCCCACTTCAGGACTTGAAACTCGTGCAGGCTAAGTCCAAAGCTTAAACATTTTTATTATTGCGCTCACATAGTTTAACTTCTCTCACCAGATTGTATGAGGATAATAATCCTAGCATTTGATGCAGCGCCTTATCATGTTGAGACATCTCAAAGCGCCTCACAGGATACCCTCTAAAGTGAATTGACTGTGTGTTTGGTGGGCAAAACAACAACAAATAACCACAAAATTACATTTGTAGAGCAAAATGCCAAACAAGGGGTAGAATCTCTGAAAGTTTCCCATTGCTGGTCTGACACTGGCTTCTCTCCCCAGATTCCATGGAGGTGGAAGCTGCACCGGTGGAGGCTGGACAGTTTGACGATGCGGACGTAGATCACTGGTAAATACAACTGCATTGTCCTCGGCAGCCTGGTGCCCAATACACCAGCTTCTCCTTCCCCACGTGACCTGGGAGCCTGTCCGTCTCTGTATCTAACCTGCTCTGTCCTGAGTTATAATAATAATAATAATAATCCTTGCATTTTATATAGCGCTTTTCACGTCGGGAGGACGTCCCAAAGCGCTTCACAGAACACACTGTAAAGTGAATTGAGTGTATATTTGTGGGCGGACGCGGCAGCCAATTGTGCACAGCAATGTCCCACAAACAGTCGTAGATTGAAAATGACCAATTTATTATTGTTTTTGGTTTTGGAGGATTATTATTAGGCTCTGTGTGGAGTAAGGAAACTTGCCCGAGGTTTCACCCTCTGCCGGGAATTGAACTCAGGTCTCTCACTTGCAAAGCGAGTGCTCTAACCACTGAGCTACAGGACTCCACAAATATCCCACAAATAATCGTAGATAGAGTAATCATTATTATTTGTGGGGAGAGATTAATACTCCTGGAACGTGATCCACCAATCGACTAACAACCAGTAACAACCTTACTGTTAGGTAAACTGTTTGTGGGTAAACAGAGGCACGTGGAGTAAGGAAATTTGCCCAAGGTGATTCTCCTGCCTGGAAATCAAACCCAGCTTCTTTCGCTTGCGAAGCGAGTGTCTGACCATTAAGCTACAGGACACCATAATAATGTAAGGATTATTATCAAACAAAGGATTATTTTTTAACACTTTTTTCCCATATGTCCTTTGTCTTACAGATGATCTCTGACATTCATCGGAGCTAGCTGGCAGCCATGAAATGTACCTCCCCTTTATTCCCCCCCCCCCCCAACAAGTCACAATCCTCACCACCATCCCCCTAGACAGCTTAATTAATGGGTGGGTGGGGGAAGTAAAGAGAGGAATTCAAACGAAATCCATGTCACCTGGATGTTAAAGAGATAGGAGTAAAATATTAACAAGAAGCATTGCTAGAGCGAAGTTCCCCTGTACTGAGGCAGACAATCCTTTTAGATTTCGTAATAAGCTCTTCACAACCCCGGGGATTGTGATGGTCACTGAGGTTGTGTTTGCTTATTTACACACACATAGCGGTCATTTTGTAAGTCCTATTTTCCCAGGACAAGCGTTACGAGATCAAACGTGTTTAGTCAATAAAAAAATCGTATTTCCTCCTTGAAACCGAACGATAATCAGTTTCGGATGTGTGGTTTATCAAGTCTCCTAAAGTAGCGAGAGAGGGGGAGATGGTATAACATGTGCAGACGATTTTGTCTCCAGATCTGTCTGATCAGTTATCCTTTTGTGACCTAGTCAATAAAATAACTTTTAAAAGAGGTTTTGTAACTTGTTAACCCTGGCAATGGGCTGTGAGCAAACATTAGTGAGAGTTGCCCCTGTGTGTGAATCAAACTTTCTACAGACTCCATGTGTGTGTATTTTTTTCTAAAAAAAAATAAAATTAATTGCAAAAGCGTGGGATCTGAATTGAAATACAAAATCTTCTGATCTCTATTGGGTCACTGGCTCGCAAGGTCTCTTGATGGTTCTAGGCAACAACTTGCAATTCTACAGCGCCCTTAACACGGGGCAGAATCTCGCAGCTAATGGTGATGGAACCGGACTCCGAGCTGTGGAGAGGGAGCAGATGACTGTAAGCATAAGGTCGAAGAGGAAGGACTTTAGTTGTGATCTAAAAGGGGAAGGAGGAGGCAAGGCGTAGGGATCGGGGAAGAGCGGCTGAAAGTGCAGCCACCGAGGGTGGAGCGGAGAGGACAAGCAGAGGGGACGAGGGACGAGCAGGAGGCCGGAGCCAGCCGAGCGGAGGTATTGGGTGGTGGAGCGAGGAGAAAGGAGATCAGAAAGGTAGGGAGCGAAAGCAGAGAAGGCCCAGCGAGTTAAATGGCTAATTCCAACCCATGACCTATACAGGACACGAGCAGTTGCATAATTGCTGGATTATCACATTACCGCACGACAGACTAGCAATCAACACTGACTGGAGATTAGTCCCGGGTCACCCTCTCAGCTGCTCACTGGATCAACTCGACGTGTGTTTGGAATAACAGCGCAATTTGCTACAGGATTTTAGAATAATCCTGGCATTTGATACAGCGCCTTACCACGTCTTCGAGACTTCTCAAAGTACTTCACAGGATATGCTACAAAGTGAAATGACTATTTTGTAGGCAAAACTCGGCAGCCAATTTCACACAGCAGCGTCCCACAAACAGTCGTGGATTGAGGGATCAATTATTTTATTTTTGGAGGGATTATTACCCCGGAAAGTGGTCTGTCAACCGGGTTCCTACTTACTACTCGGTAAACAGGCGTGTGTGTGGAGAAAGGAAACTTGTCTAAGGTTTCCCACCCAAGAGTCAAACTTGGGTTCTCTCGCTTGCGAGGCGAGTGTCTAACCACAGCTACAGGGTTCCAAGTTCAGTTAATACCTTGGGCAAGTTTCCTTACTCCACACAGAGCATAATAATAATCCCTCCAAAACCAAAAATAATAATAAATTGGTCATTTTCAATCCACGACTGTTTGTGGGACATTGCTGTGCTCAATTGGCTGCCGCGTTCGCCCACAAATATACAGTCACTTCACTTTACAGTGTGTTCTGTGAAGCGCTTTGGGACGTCCTCCCGACGTGAAAAGCGCTATATCAAATGCAAGGATTATTATTATTATAATACAGAAGACATAAATGAATGACTTGATCACATGACAAAGGGTTTGATATGGAAATAAAAAAATGACGGTGATTAACATGGTCAGGAGGTGACGTCCACCTGAAAACCAAACTTGTTTATGAAGCGATTATTGTTTAAAGGGATTAATTTAAGTAAAATGGGCGTCACCTCCCACTTCTCTCCTCCTTCGGGCACTCAGTTTGTGACGGGATTGGAATCCGAAGGTTAATCAGGTTTATCTGACCTGGCGGCGTAAACAGCCACAGGACTAAATCAGGTAGAATATACACAATCTTTCCGCATGAGTCAAACACCCACCCAACTGACCAAAAAAATCTCCCTCTTCAGTCCTGCTCCTGGTCAGTTTAGGACTTGTGCAGTCCTGTAGCTCAGGGGTTAGAGCACTCGCCTCACAAGCGAGAGGACCCGGGTTTGATTCCCGGGCAGAGAGAAACGTGGGGCAAGTTTCCTTATTCCACCCCTCCGTTTACCAGCAGTGGGTAGGAACCCGGGTGTTAGTCGATTGGGGGATCACTTTTCCGGAGGTAATAATCCCTTCAGAAAATATAATAATTTGGTCATTTAAACCGCCTGTTTGTGGGCCGCTGCTGTGCACCATTGGCTGCCGCGTTTCACCCGCAAAACAGTCCATTCACATTGCAGCATATTCTGCAAAGCACTTTGAGGCGTCTCGAAGACATGAGGCGCTGTATCAAAGTACAAGGATTATTATTGATTATTATTTTCATAACTGAGCAACTCTAGAAGATTCCAGAAGAACATTTAAGAGCCTCCGTCCTGTACAATAAAATGGTGAACTCCTGTGTGCTGCTTCCCTTTCGTTGACCTCGTTGTGTCCCTGTTTTCTGAGCGACAGAGAGTGGGTTTATTCATTTGTACGAACATAAGACCAAGGTCCATCTGGTTGGCCGTCCCCTTCCTGGCGGTCGCCTGCACATGTACCTCAAACTCCTTAAGTACTGTATCCCATCACATCTAAAACAACTATAATCTGTATTTGATGGAATTAACATTTCCTGCTTCAACCCCCCCCCCCCCCCCCCTCATGGGAGTCTGTTCCACAGGTTCACTGTTCGCTCACTGGATAGTGTTTGTGTACATTGGTTTCGAATCGCAGGCCCTGTCCCCTCTGGTTTTATTATTCTCTAAACCGAGTTTAAAGATTAAGTGGTTTCTCGTCACATTTACACAGAGCGACTTTTAGTGAGACTCCAACAAACGAGGGGAGATCCTCAGATTTGTCTTCAAATCCCTTCATGACACCTTCTCCGCTGATTACCCCCAACCTACAACCCGCTGCCTCCGCTCCTGGCCCGCCTCCTGCTCTCCTCGTCCATCTGCCCCCTCCGCTCCACCATTCACCATTTCAGCCACCCTCCCCAATTCTGGACCTCTCTCCCTCCAGCCCTCGCCTCCCTTCCTTCCCCTTTCAGGTCGCACCTAAGTCCTTCCTCTTCGACCTGCCTCTGGTCACCTCCCGCCTTCCTCGGCTCGGAGTCGGGCTCCGTGACCGTTACCGTGAAGCGCTCTAGGACGCTGCAGTTGAAAACCAAGCTGGGTTTGGATTGATTCTCAAGAGGAAACAGCGGGTCACAGACCCGTTGGTTCCGTATTTAATTCTATGTATCTGCCGTTGGGAGTCCGTTTAGCTCACATTCAACGTGAGGGGACGCTGTGTAAATGCAACTTGTTGTTGTTCAGAATAAGTTGTATTCTAAAAAAAGAGCGGCTTCCAGATCGGGGCCAAAAGAAAAAATAGTTGAACGTGAGTTAAAACGGCAGATAAATAAAATTAAATATGAAACAAAAGATGCTGTGTGTTAGCCTGAATTAATCCAAACCCAGCGTGGTATTCAACGGCAATGCCAGCTCAGCTCCCCCCTCGACTCCGTACCCCCTCCTCGCTCCCTCCCTCCCTCCCCTCACCCTGACCATCTCCCCCCCTCCTCGCTCCCTCCGCTCCCCTCACCCTGACCATCTCCCCCCAATGCTCAGGTCCTGACCCAACTGTCCAGCGCCTCGGGATGTCCTCCCGACGTGAAAGGCGCTCTACAAATGCAATCTTGTTGTTGTTGTTGTTGTTTTACCAACAAAACACACGGCGGCCAACGTTACCGACAACAGTTAAAAACAATTCTCTCTCTCAATCTTTCTTCGTCTGTCTCAGCCTTTCGCTCTGTTTCATTCTCTCTCTCTCTCTCGAGCAAACACACACACACACTGGGGGTGGAAACTCAAATAAATTAACCAGAAAATGATATGGGGAAAGTAAAAAGATTGTCCCCTCTCTCCTGACACACAGACACAGACACACATACAGTCACACATACAGTCACACACACCACACCACACACACACAGTCACAGTCACACACACACAGACACACACACAGTCACACACACACACACACAGTCACACTCACACACACACAGTCTCACACACACAGATCTAAGAGAATATGTTGATGGAGTTCACTCACTTGAAATGGATTTGCTCCCAATCACTGCTCACACTGTGTGTGTGTGTGTGTGTGAGTGAGTGAGTTTGGGTTTGACTGAAAGTCCTCCCAGTGATCCCCTCTCACACTCACTCACTCACTCTCAGGGACACAGACAGACAGACAGACACAGACAGACAGACAGACAGCATTGCATTGCATTGCCTTCTGCAAATGCCAATCAATTTGTCGCCCTCTAGTTACAAACACAGGAACAGGAGCCTTGGGACCTGAAAGGCACTCTGTATAATAATAGTATGA